AGAGCAAGCACAACATGAAGAAAAACTGGGAGGTAGGGGTGGCAAATAGCACGGGGGAGGGTCTGGCATGGGGGAGATGAGTGAGTACACAGACAGACACACACACACACATACATTCCAGCCAAACCAGTGAATGAATGAAAGGCAGTACTGGGAGATGGAATGAATGAAAGGTTGAGACTGAGAAAATGAATGAGTGTCATGGTCTTCCGCTCTAATGTAGTTATTTAAAATTGCTATTTGTGCAGCACTTTCATTCTCATCAGTCTCACTTTGTCTGTGGCAGTAAGACACATTGAGATGGTGAATGCCTGCTAAACATCAGCTTACTAAAGTTGTTACTCACCTGTTTGTTCTGGAACTGCATCATTAAGTTAAGACCAACATCTAACAACACCAGTGATTAAGCATAAAGTACAACAATGCTGACATTAGCATTTACTAGCAAGTACCACAGAGTGGCTGCTCTTATTCTTCTTCTGTTCTTTCATTTCTTTGTTTGAATGCTTGTAGAACTTGTCAACTAGTCACTTATCTTCAGCCCCCTGCACTAAAGTATTGATATTTCTTATTCACATCAAGCCTGGAAAAAAATAATATGATTATATTTAAGTGTCTGACATCCAGTGCTAACCAAATTCAGCAGTCAAAATTCACTTTGAATGTTCTGAGGAAACCGTGAGCATAAGGGCACATAGGTGTCGAAATGAGAGAGCATCACATGGCTCTGCAAGTGAATGAACACCAGGGCAAAATGCATGGCCTTGATGTGGTAAATCAGAGCCTTGACATATTTATTTTCCAGTCATGGGCTTCGAGGTGGTGTGATCAGTAGTCTGAACCAGTCTGTCTGCTGGTTTCACTTCAGCTCCCCACTGTCCCTTTAAACAGCCCTCCGATGTTACCATAAAGCTGCTAGAAGAGCCTCACTGCAAAAGTCACATGCTCCAGCTCCCTTTGTTTCCCACAGAAAGCCCCTATCTGTCTGTGCATGGAGGGGACGCAGAGGACACAACTATCACTGAGAGAAATCATATGTGAAGGAAATGAAGAGAGGAAGAACAACTGTTTGTCTCAATTTGTCTAAAATGTCTGTCTGCAGGATATAGCAAATATTATGCTTTTGAAAACACATCATTTGGACATGTGTTTAAACTGCCTATAAAACAGAAACTATTGTAAAAGTTTCCCAAGTCACATGCACTTATACAAATAAAATATTTAGTGCTTAAAGATTAGAAAAGGATAGGACAGGAAACAGATATAGATAGATAGATAGATAGATAGATAGATAGATAGATAGATAGATAGATAGATAGATAGATAGATAGATAGAATTGTATTATTTTGGTGGAAGGAGGAATAGTTTTGGAGCAAAGATAATGTAAGAAATATACACTGTAAAAATGTATGCAATGGTATTAGAAACATTTAACATTTAAACAAACCATAACACAAATGTTAAGAGTTTAGTTTTTTTTTTTTTTTTTTAGCCATATCATGACAGCAAAGGTAAGCAGATGGTAAAAGGGTTGGAGAAATCTGCTAATTTACAGTACTGTTCCATATATGTATATATACATGGTTAATATTTTTTTTTTTAAATACCATTCTAATATTGTTTTCTGTATCCCTCACAACAATACCAGAATGGAGAAAAGTCTGATATGGCTCCAGGCTCTGTTCACAGAGGTGGAACTCTCTTTATGTATTACGGTAGTCCACCCAATAGCCCATGGGAGGAATTCCAGGAATGTGAAAAGCTCCAATTCATATTGAAACTAGATTAACATGTGCACAACTTACACTTTTAGGTTTTACCTTGAGAAGTTAAATAGGCAGCTAGTGACAGAGCCTAACTGCTTTGTATCAAGAGGTAAATGTCAGAATATATGACTAGCTGGATTCATCCATACATCCTCCCCTCATTCTCAAATGATTTTCTGACGGTGGGTGAATAAAGCAGCAGAAAGCTGTCAACAGAAATGATCTGTGTTGTTTATCTAAAAGACTACGTCAAATGACTTTGTTAAGGTTATCAATAACAATGTTAACTTTTCCAGTACACTGAACTTTTCCCCACATGAAAAGTTACACCAACATCTGCCTAGTAACAGCAATTCCTCCCATTGGTGCAACTTCAGTCTCCTCCCGTTTGTGTGTTTGTGTGTGTGTGTGTGTGTGTGTGTGTGTGTGTGTGTGTGTGTGAGTGTGTGAGTCAGGGAAAGTTTTCAAACTTTACATTGTGCATTTTAATATTACTTCCTTTTAAACAGCCCAAGCAGATTTATTGATTGACTTTGAGTAAAATGAACTAATGTTGCAATCATTAAACTAGACTGCTTTTCTACCAGGTTCCAAAGAATAAACTGCAGAAATAATGTCAGACATAAACATATATATCTTCCTATTCATGTTAATTTATAAATCTGAAACTCATACACAGTTAAAATGCAATAGAGTGGTGCTCCTGTTCCACAAGTCCCCTCCAACTTTCCAATTATTAAACAGGCATAATTTAAGTGTGGGACAGCCATTACTTCAGACTCAGAGAGAGCCACATGGTGAGTTGTAGCTTATTTTACCTGCACTGTGCACAAGGAGCTTACACTGGTCTATCATGTATGACTACAATCACCATTTTCTATATGCAAACTTAATTGATAATGTGTTACATTACAGGTAAAGTACAGGTTAAAAAATAAATAAATTAAAAAGTACACTTTATGATAGTAATGGGGGGGAGGGGGGTCCTGGTACAGGCTGATATAATACACTCTCCCTTGTTATGTCAAGTAAATGGGATGAATGAATAAAGCAGTGTTCTACTATTGTTCCATGTGCTCACCTCATGTTTGCTTGGAGAGCTGCTGCTTTCATTCAGTCTCACAGAGACAGAGGAAGAAGAAGGAGGAGGGCTGTGAGCCGTTATCGCCCCCTACCGACCACACGCTCCCCCGGTCAGCGCTCCTCCACGGGGCCAGACTCGGTCCCGGACCTCCCACCTCCTCCTCAGAAGCCAGCAGCTATAGGAGGAGGGGGGTCTCCCTCTCTTTCCTTATATATATGTATATAATAGAATCCCTTCCTCGCGCTCCCTCGCAGACTGCCTGTCCCTTTGATCTCCCCCCCCCCTTAACAACAGCTGACGTCATCGCGCGCACCCACCCTACGGCCTCTTCCTTGTGTTCGGCGCGTGCTCGCCGATACGCCGTGTGTGTGTCTTTGTGTGCCCGTGCGCGCGCGCGTCTGCCGAGCGCGAGGCAGGGGTTTTTGTCTCGCAGGGCGACGCGGTGTGTTCCTCAGAGGGCTCGCGCACACCGGAGGAGCAACAGCGGCAGCAGCCCAGCGAGAAGAAAGTGACTGAAAACTAGCCGACCGTGGTCTTCTGTGCGCTCCGGCCTCTTCCTGCTCGGACACAGAGACATTTCAACGAGGCGACGCAAAAGTTATATCGGCGGCGAGAATTGTATTCAAAGCAGAAGTACTATGGAGGACCAGCTGCTGTGCTGCGAGGTGGACTCCATCAGGAGAGCCTACCAGGACGTCAACCTGCTCAACGACCGAGTTCTCCACACCATGCTGAAGGCAGAGGAAAACTACCTGCCGTCGCCAAACTACTTTAAGTGTGTTCAGAAAGAAATTGTACCCAAAATGAGGAAAATAGTTGCCACCTGGATGTTAGAGGTTGGTTGTGCTTCACTTCAACTTTCTTTCTGTGCCTGAGTTTCGCTGCTAACTTGTTGGCAGTGTTTTCGCTAGCTTAGCCTAATCTGTGTCGCCTGAAACGTGATAAATTCGCCGTAATGTGAAAGTTTTGAGCCTGTGAGAGGTTAATGTCTGCTATTTCACTGTGCATGTTACATAAAGGCTCTGGAAAGTATGTCCCGATGAGTGCTGGGTGGTCCTTCGTCTTTAAGCGGAGATATTGGCTACAGATCGCATTTACTTTTCACCATTAGTGCCTTTCTGATTGATTATATCTTAGCCTATATTTTCCCGAAGCCCATGGAATGTGATTAGATGGTTAAAATATTCCTAAATAACAGCAATGTACACGTATGCAGTCTGGCCCGTGCCAATATTACGCGCCATCTTTGTTGTCGTATATGAGGAGGATTTTAATATCATTAAAAATCTATAATATTACCAGCAATGACAGTAAGTCGACCCAATTAGCAAGAAATGCATGTATATCATGAGATGGTTACATGCTGACTGCTGGCTGTCGGTCGACTGGTATCAACTGGTAAAGTTTGTTTTGCTTTCAGAGACTCGGTGCTGTCTGTGAAGGTCGCTACGAAAAATTGATATTTTTTAAAAGCGCAGAAGCCGTAAATCCACTTTAACAGTCGGATTTGATAGCTAAGATGTATTTAAACATTTACATGAACTTTTGGATTGAATTCTTTTCAGTTTTCTATTTTTTAATAATTTCTGAAATCGGGCATCGGGGAGCCAGGGGGAAGTGTCGCCTGCAGCACGTGAAAATGCCTCGTCTGAGAAATTAATTTTTTTTAAATTCCCACGAATTGCAATTCGACACATTTGATGTTCATCCGATCAGAAATTCGATAAGGATCATTTACATGCTATTTGCATGCAGCCTGCTAATTTTTAAATATTTCTAATTATTTTTTGAAAAGATGACGAAGTTGAAATTAGAGAGTGAAACTTGCATCGACGCCACCTTTGTGTCTCCGTCAGAACTGACTGCAAACTAATTCCCGACTGTTTTTATTACTGCAACACTCTTACTTGCGGACTCTAACAAATGTATTAGCTTTTTACGTTATATGATTTTGGTTGCAAGTGAAATTGAGTTTTCTTTTAACAGTGTTCTAATCGGGATGTTTAAATGCTAAGCTAAAATGAAATAAAAGCGCAAAATGTTTAATTTTTCCAAATTTCGTTTCGGATGATTGTGGCAACGCAGCTATTTTATGCAAACAGCTGTGCACGGATTAAGACACAGAGCCAGTGGGGGGAAAGACTTCATAATGCACATGAATGGGGGAATTTTCTTCAGCAAGCAGCAGCAACCTCTAAGTGCTTTTCTCACATCCTAGGTCTGCGAGGAACAGAAATGTGAGGAGGAGGTTTTTCCGCTGGCTATGAACTATTTGGACAGATTTTTATCAGTGGAGGCCACCAGGAAAACAAGACTACAGCTGCTCGGAGCTACATGCATGTTTCTAGCATCCAAGATGAAGGAGACTGTGCCCTTAACGGCGGAGAAACTGTGTATCTACACGGACAACTCGGTCCAGCCCGGAGAACTGCTGGTAATTGAGTTCTGCAGACATAGACGTTGCATAACACATACAGTACATGAGCAGCATGCACTGGAGGCCACATGACCAGAATACAGAGTGTTTGCAGTATATCTGCTGTGATGGCGTCATCGTGGCCAGAACACATTGGTTGCACTGAAATATGAAAGATAGATTCTTTAGTTTGAATTGAAAAAGTACAAATGTGCAGCAGTGTCGAATGGCCGCCCGTGACTTTCCCATGGTGACTGGAAGGCCTCTCTGATTTCATGAATGGTCTCAGTGGCTGCCAAGAAAACACGATTTCACAGCGACACCTAGTGGACATAAGACAGAGGTGCAGGCTGATCATTAAGAGCAACAATTGCTCACATTTCTTTTATGTTTGCTGTGACATTTGTTTAATGTACAAGTGCTTGTTTTGACTTCATCAGTATTTAGGCAGGAGGATATTTAGAATATGTAATAAGAAATAAATAAATCAGATTTAAAACCACCAAACCTGTCAGTTTACATAGGCAAGAAGCACACATTTGTTTTGAGATTGTGCCTTTATATACAATATTGTTTGAACGTAGGAACTAGATTGAATAATGAAACACTTAGCATAATTGCATCGAAAGTTAATCAAAAAGCTTTTTGAGAAAGTCCTGCCCTGGAGAATACTGTACAGATGTATTTTGACCTCTGTGGGGAAAAGGGGGAAAAAAAGATGAAAAGAATGAACTAGAAAGGTATTTAAAAAGAAGAGATATAAACTATTTAAAACTTTAACTACTAGACATATAAGAAGAAGTAGTGTAATATAATCTAAGAAGAGCTGCAGGAGAGATGCAAACAGCAGACTTAAGGAAAAATACATTCTTCTTTGCAAGTAAGGGTCAGTTTGAGTTAATGCCTCTGGTCTGGTCCATCCACAGCAAATGGAGCTACTCGTTCTCAACAAGCTGAAGTGGGATCTGGCTTCAGTCACTCCTCATGACTTCATCGAGCATTTCCTGTCCAAGCTGAAGATACACCATTCTACCAAGCAGATCCTCAGGAAACATGCCCAGACCTTTGTGGCCCTCTGTGCTACAGGTAGGACACAAACTTTCTGTCTTAATACACATCCAGCACACGTAAGTGTATGTGTGCAGCAAACATAAGTGCTTAGGTCAATACTGCAGGTTGTTCTAGTGCTGCAACCTGTGCATTTATCACCCCATGTTTTCTCCATATTAAGTTTTACTCAAATAATGACTGCAATTCACTGACACGGTGGCTTCATGTCTAGACTGAACTGACTAACTTTTCAGACTTCTACACTTTAGAAGTACTACTTCAGCCTAATTTTTTGGTTCTGTATTCTAATGTAGGCAGTCATTCTGTCAATATTTGCTAAATGTCAGGTGAATCTACAAAAACAGACAGTGATGGGGCAGATGTTGAATGGTTCTATCTATCTGTCTATCTATCCATCTAGCTGTCTATCTATAGGAAACTTTTCTTATGATCACTGTCAAACTGTCCTACAGAAATTCTGAGTCTTAAGATATTTGTGCCTTTTCAACAGATGTCAACTTTATTGCCAGTCCTCCCTCCATGGTGGCTGCAGGCAGTGTGGTGGCAGCTGTTCAAGGTCTCTACCTGAAGAGCCAAGATGCCTCTTTGTCCTCCCAGAACCTCACCAATTTCCTGTCGCAGGTCATTCGCAGTGACCCGGTATGGAAACACAAACACACTCACACGCACCATCCCAAACCTATGCATGTGGAAAAGCCACATTTGCTCTTGACATTAGTCCTGCAATGGTCTTGACTTGTGTTAACTGTGTGCTTGCAGGACTGCTTGCGGTCATGTCAAGAGCAGATTGAGTCTCTGCTGGAGTCGAGCCTGCGGCAGGCTCAGCAGCACAGCAGTACAACAGAAACCAAACGCGTGGACGAGGACGTGGACCTGTCCTGCACGCCGACAGACGTTAGAGACATCAACATCTGAGATGACTCACAGCTACGTTGCACAGTGACCCAATGATCGAGGGAAAGTTGTCGTCAAAGGGCGGTGACGGGTGGGCCGGGGAGGGGGTGCCTCATTTGAACTCATCCTCCCCTCCTCCTTCTCCATTTTCCTGGTGGGCTGCTATCATGGCCGACATGTCACCCACATGCCCACTGTTCTCTATGGCTGCTAAGACGAGACAGAGCGCCCCCCCGTCCGCCACGCAACCTACCCCATGTCACATTTCCTGCCAGTGTCCCCTCCCTTCCTGGGTACAGAAATGAACACTACAGAAATGTACTAGAGAGAAAAGACACTGAATACCGATGACCTGCGTGGGCTGGAGTTGAAGCCACAGAAGCAGATATTTTAGTAGATATTTTTTCTTATTCCCTCACATATTAAACTAGGAATCTTTAAATTTCCGCAGACTCAGCATGCCTACTAAAACATCCCAAAGTGTCATGTACAGGTCTTTGTAGTCTGTCTTCAGGCTTTCACCTGAAACCTGACATTTATTAAAGCAAAGAAGCTGTTCTGTTTTAATTTCTTTTCTGTTATATCTAGAATGATTTAGGCTTCTTGTCCAAGTTCCCATGTTTGTCTTGTAGTGCAGACATTCATATACCCCTGCTTGCTTATGTTTAGTCACTTTATTATATATCATTTTAGACTTTATCAGTTGGTCTTATACCTCTTCTTTTCCAAGCTTTTTGTTCTTTAAAGCAAGTGTAGTGTGTGACGCTCTGGTTTTATGACCTTAGAGACTGTGGACTGCTAATGTAAAGGTTTGAACAAACTGAATATCTTTGTTCATTCCTTGACAACATTCGCTTTACCCATTTCAGCTTGCTGTAATTTGATAAGATCAAATCAATGCTCACATAAGCAGAGCAGTCCACAATCTGTTGTTATATTTTCTTCCTCTGTGTAGTTAGACCTAATACCATTCCAACTTTGTTTTCTAAAAAAAAGCACTTTTGGTCAGCGATGCTGGCTCAACTAGAAAATCACAGTGATAAAGTTTGTAAAAGAACATGAAAATGGAATGGGGGTTTGAGCTGGAGTCTCTTGGTGAGGCAGAGTCAAAGCAGCACCTGCAGACAGTTGCATCTGGATCCGACTCATCTAATGGGACAAAGAATTGACCAGTATCGCAGAAACACGCAAAACCAAGACTGAATGCTGCTTGGCATAGTCATGAGTCTCATAGTGGCCAGTGACTCACTGTAGCTGCCTTCCAAATCTCAGATTAGAGTTTTACTTTAGCAATGTTTCATACAGGCAGAGCTGCTCTGACATTTTAAGGAAATGTCACAGGTCTAGGTGAACCTCAGTGTGCTGAGCCAAAAGCTGAAGGTCCAGAGGTAAAAGTAAAAAAAGTATTATTTTTATAGTTAAAATAATGCTTTATTTTTATATAGTAAATCATATTATTTATTTTTGTAGCTTGAAAGGGACCGTGGCTCCACCTACTGACGTTTATCTCAAACAGTGAACTCACGTCTGCCTCCAGAGCAGCCTTTCAGTCTAGAAATATGGCAAAAGTAAAACTCCAACCTGCCTCTAAATCACCAGGACAGCATCTCCTCTGATGCTCCACCTCGGTTCAGACACTGCTCATGGATTATGGGAAGGGGATGAAGCTTAAAAAAAAAGAAGAAAAAAAAAGGAGAGACGAGACTATTGACGTGATTTGCACAAACCTAAAAGACGTGGGCTGCGTTTCTTGGGGAATTGCCTAAATGAGGTGGAGAGCAAAGCTGGCAACAGTACCAAGGGGTAAAAAGTGGCAAAAAGGGTGAAGGCTCACCAGTGAGGTGTGTCTTATTGCTGTAGAGTTCAAGTCAGGGCTCCTACACAGAATGGGAAATATGTTGTGGCCAGATTGATATATATACTATATATATGAAGATGAACAGATTATCTTAAGCAAGAGGGCTTCTTCAAATCAGTGTGGAAAATGGACTGAATTCTGTGAGTATGTCAAACTGTGTAGGAACCCTGTAAATTAGGTTTCTGATTGTACATTAAAGATAGAGAGAGTAGGAGAAAAACACTCCTTGTATTCCGCTGCTATAGAAGATAAATCCCAGCTACGTGTTTTAAAAAAAGAAAAAGAAAAAAGATGTCAAAAAACGTAATGGATTAAAAACAATGCTTTTCTCCTGTTGTTTGCTGCTACATTTTGGTTGTTTTTTTTATACATATAAATGTCAATATATTGCCATCCTAGGTTTGAATTTTCTCATAGAAAATTGTGTTATTGACATCCTCATTTGTTGTTTTGTGTAGATTTTATGTGATCAGTTTTTTTTTTTTGTTTATAATTACGTAATATGATTTTCCATACTATTCCAAAAACAAGGAAAAATGAGACAATGTACAGTAATGCTTTGATCCACAATACCTCATGTGACAGTCAAGATCTATCTCTAATTTGTAGTCTTTTTATTTGTTTAGTTCTTATTCTATTCTACTTGTTGGTTCAGTGCCTACTAGCTCTGTTAAACCTGCTTGAGGTGAAGCATCCATGATGGAAACCAGCGAGTCCAGGGCATGCTTTGATACTGGTGCCATAACAGAAAATGGGATATGTATAACTCTGTTGAGTGTTAAGCTGTCTCGGTGAAAGAGACTTTATCCCCCCTTTAGGCCCATAGTGGCCTTTCTTCCTTTCCCCTTTTTATATTTATAAAAGAGAAAAAGCTTTTTGCTCCAATTTTCAAACTGTCAGTGAGTTGATTTGAGTTTGTAAATAGATTCAGTGTCATGCTCAGTAAGCCATAGACTGTTTTTGTTCTGTTTTCACAAATCATTCCACACAGTTGTGTCTACTTCATGCCAGTTGTCTGCAACTGGGACAAACAGTGTATTCATCTTTGTGTCGACAACACAATAAAAACATGAATTAGATGGAGTCTGGAAAATGTCTGTTTCTGTCCAAAGGAGATGCTGAACAAAGTGGTAGACATACTGAGCTCACACCAACCTGCATCTTCTTGTTATTGAACTCTGTCAGGTTTTCAGTCAGGTTCATGCTTTCTCTGTCCAGGGCCAGAGAGGACAGCTTTTAAGGACTAATCAGTGCTCCCTATGATGGTAAACTCACACTTTTCCCTTCACACATACCCAAAACAAGACACAAATACATACATTTTAAGGCTTGGAAAGTCATTTCTATAGCAAAGTTAGTCAACAGTTTGGGAACCAATAATGCACTGCTACACACTCACTCAACTGAGTGTTTGTGGCAGTGGGATGGTGTGTGACATAAAATTAAGCACATTGTGTTTTCATCACAATGATGGCGTATGTTTTCACATACCATTAATGTTTTCACATACCATTAATGTTTTCATGGGTTTATTACAAATGAGAGAAATCGAACAGCAGAGGTCTCCTCTAAGCAGATGCATTCATAGAACAACTGAGGGCAGAAACTACTGTGCTTCTGTGCTGTACTTTTATCAAACTCAAACAGATCTTCAGTTCAGATTACACCTCGTTTAAAATGGAACACAAATATACCTGGACGATTCAGACCAAACCTGATCAGAAGTTGTTACATGACTAAATCATCAAGCAGATGCAGCAGATATGCAGGTTCCAGCATCCTCAGCTGGTGAATCACTGCTTTGTGTAGAATTTTAAATTAAATGTTTTTGTGTTTTGAACTGTTCCCTGCGATGGACTGGTGACCTGTCCAGGGTGTCCCATGCCTTCACCCTAAGTCAGCTGGGATAGGCTCCAGCCCCCCCGCGACCCTCATGAGGATTAAGCGGTGTATAGATAATGATGGATGGATGGTGTTTTGAACTGTTCCTCAGATACAGTAAACAAGGCATTTTTTACTTTTTCCATAGATTCACTGGACTGATAAATGAACAAGAGATTACATAATATTGAAAATAAAGATGAGACATTCTAAATCAAATTAAAGTGGCTGCACCAAAAACAGAAGTGATTTTCATCTGGCCAGAAGGTGTTCTGCTGGCTGCTGAGCTGCCCTGCCATCCCTTCCCATTTTCCCTTCCATTTCACACATTAACAGCCTGACTTCCCTCATAGTGTGAGGACACCAGTTCTGGTATTATGATGCAAACAGAGGCTTGAGTCAGTGAGGCAATATTCACATGAAAGGTATGTCCACGTTGGGACTTTTTATCCGAAGACAACAGCCACACCGCAATGCAGGGAAAGAAAACGGAGCTTTTTGGAAATGCTAATGTCCAAACATTGGTGGTTTCTGTTGCAGTGACATGTTTTGAACACCGTGGCTCAACCTTGCTACCACTGAAGTAATGTCACTTGAATTTGCTCTGACAATCATTTGGCAATTTTGTTTTTCAAAAAATATCCTTTCTTCCACTGGATGACGTCTCTTTAGGTTTTTGGGTTTCCACACCAATCATGACAACGTGCAAACTGTGCAATCAGCACATAACTACATAATAAAGCAAATTATGCTTTACACTGTTGTCTTGTGCTTCATTTAGTGGCTGCTCTGCACCAAAGGTTGTAAAGCTGGTGACATTAAATCATTATTTCCTGCACATAATTCATAAGTACATGTCAATGAAAGAGCAACATCTCTTCACTGTGAAATTAAAAGCACTGACAATTACATCTGTAGGCAGCTAATGTTAGCTGAGCTTTGCTTCATCCGGATAGTTTCTGCACTTGTTTATTTTAAAAGCCTGCATGAACTTGATATATTTCATTTAAACCCACTGTGTAATTGCCATGCACAAAAATGTATGAAATTGTGGCCAGCTACATAAGATATTAGAATAACTGTAGAAAATGAAGATCCAGGAATGCTCCAGAGAGTGAGGAGCCCTTGAGCAGCTCAGCAGCACACTGTTTATTCCATCAGCTGATGTTTCAGCAGAAAGTGTCTTTCTTAAAAATAAGAAAAATGTAAGTAAGTAGATATCATGGAAATTGTCTTTTTGATATGTATGAATAAGCCAACATGTGATCGTATTTGAAACTGTGAATTACAATTAATTATGATGATCACTATGATGACTATTATTGCATAATAATAATAGTAATAATAATAGGGGGCTGCAAGGTGGAGCAGTGGTTGGCACCATTGCCTCACAGCTAGAAGGTCGCCGGTTTGCATCCCTGTGAGGACACCCAGGATCTTTCTGCATGGAGTTTGCATGTTTTCCCCGTGCAGTGTGGGTTCTCTCTGGGTTTTCCAGCTTCCTCCCACACAGTCCAAAAACATGTTGAGGTTAATTGGTGATTCTAAATTGTCCGTAGGTGTGAATGTGAGTGTGCTTGGTTGTCTGTCTCTAAGTGTAGCCCTGTGATAGACTGGTGACCTGTCCAGGGTGTCCCCTGCCTTCACCCTGAGTCAGCTGGGATAGGCTCCATCCCTCCCGCGACCCTAGTGAGGACTAAGTGGTGTATAGATAATGGATGGATGGATGGATAATAATAATAATAATTAATTAGTAATTAATTACTAATTATAAAAACACACCCAGAATTTATCATATCTTCACATCCATCAAATTAGAATCTGTGATTCCAGATTAGAGTCCAATGATTAACATTAAGGAATGAAACCTCTGACTACTAGCTTTAGCTCTTTCATACTGAAGTGATCTAAAGATCTGCAGAACTCTCTAAGGCCATCAGAATAAAGACTGTTGATATGAAGTCTAGCAAGGGGTTTAAAAATGTAATAATAAATTATTCCACGATGAGGATGATAATCTACACAAGGTGCATATTTCAAACAACTACCAATTTGTCCAGGACTGGGCACCCCAACAAATACAGTCCCATAGTAGAGCATCTAGTGCAAAAGAAGTCTTCAAGAACCCCCAGATTTCATTACAGGATCTGCAGGTAACTCTTGCCACTGGTGTCAAAGTTCTGGTCTACAATATTGCAAAAAAAACAAAAAAAAAAAAATCTGACCTGCATCAGAGGCATAAAAGGACAAAGTCTTTTCTGTCAAAAAGGAACTTTAGATAGCAGTGTTTCAGAGGACTTACAGGTGAAGATCAGGTCTTTTGGAATAATGTGCTCTGAACAAATGAATCGTCGATAGAGTCTATGTTCCATTTATGTCTTCTTTGTTATAGGGGCACGTTCTATAAAACTTGTCTTCCTCATGCTCCTATTCTGCTATGTTTTTTTTGTTGTGATGTACAGTCCAAAGGGTATGTAAAAAAAAAAAAAGAAGAAAAAAAACTAAAAACATGGATGAATAAATAATAATAATGAAAAAAAATAATAAATATAATAAAATAAAAATAATGAATGAAATGAAATTGTTTGGCCACAGTAGCAGTAGACATGACGATGCAGGTCATAAACAGCTTATCAGGAGAAGAACCTCCGCCTTACCAACTGTGAAGCCTGGTGGTGGAAATCAGTTGCTTTACTGCCTCTCAGACTGGGAAGCTTGCAGTCATTTATTCAACGATAAAATCTATAAAATCTCACATTAGAGTGCTTGAAGGTAATGAGTTGAAGCTGGCAATAAAAGTACAGCTAAGGGAACGTCCATTAAAGAGTGGTCAAAAATGTCAACAAACTAAATTCAGATACTGATGGATAAGTGTGCAAATGATGCAAGTATGTACAATTTTGGACAAGACCCTTTATTCAAGTTCATTAGTTGTTTGTTTGTTGTTGTTTTTTTTTACTTAGAATAAAAACTGAACACATCAAACACATTTGAAGAAACCAAAATCAGTTTTAAAGGTCACATTCTTTACAGTCTCCTCCTGCTTCCCACAGCTTTAACACTCCTCATTTAGAGGCAGCTTCATGATGTCGTCACCTGGCGCTTTTCCAGCAGTCTTGAAGGAGTTCCCACATATGCTGAGCACTTGTTTCCTGTTTTACCTTCACTCTGTGTTCCAACTCATCCCACAGCATCTGAGCTGGGTTTAGGTGGATGATTGTGGAGGCCAGGTCATCATCAATAAATCAGTGTCACCACCAAAGGCCCCCCACATCATCATAGCTCCTCCTCCATGGTTCCTGTTGGGAACCATGCATGCAGATACTCTCTCTTTATCTTCTCTGTGTGCCACAAAGACTCAGCAACACATCTGGCCTGATGAAACCAATGTCCAGGTTTCCACTGATCTGATGTCCACTCCTTGTGTTTCTTAGTCCAGCCAGATCTCTTGTTCCTTTTGGTCTCCTTCAGTGGTGGTTTCTTTGCACTCATTCCACCATGAAGACCTGATTCACAGTCTAATCTCAACAGCTGATGTTGAGATGTGTCTGAGGGAACTTTAGGTCTTCCTTTTCTGGAGCGGTGCTCAGACCCATTTTCATGCCAGCATTTGATGTTTGTGTAAGCGACTGTCCTTCATGTCTTCAAGTAATGAAGGACTGGTGTTTGTCTTTAATTAGCTGAGAGAACCCTAACATGGAAATTTGCTGTGTATCAACCCTACCCCGACACAACTGATGGTTTAAGAAGGCAAGAAATTCCACCAGTTAACTTTTATCAAGGTTCATCTGTTAACTGGCATTCATTCCAGATGACCACCTCATCAACCTAATTTTGAAATGGACAAAAGTTTTGCAATGCTTTTAATAAGTAAACACCGGCTACTCTGAGGGGTCAAAAATCCAAATCATATTTAGGTCTGTTTACACTGTATAGGCTACCACAGAAATCCATATGTATTATTTCATAGTTTTTATAGTGTCTTAGGTTTTGTTCTGAAAAAAAGGTGAAATAAAGAAAAACCCTTAAATATGTAGATGGATACAGATATGTGATTATGAGTCTATTTTTATGAGGTACTGTAAAGATGCAATTTTATAAAAGTTATCATTAAAGTTGCACAAGCTTAAAATGACATAATCATTTCATAGTTCGGAAAAGAAGCAGAGAGACACTCTGAGCTCATACATTAAAGAATAACA